TGCGGGTCGCACGCTTCGCATATCTTTCACTCTCTGGGGATCCACATTGCTCATGGTAGTACTCGAGACCATGCAAAGTTCTATCTGCTACAAATTCGCTTAAACGCAAATAAGTCGAGTGGGGAGCGCAACTTGTAAACGCCGTCTTCTAGTCTTTGAACTTACTTTCTATTTGCAGGATCGCTTTGGGAGATTCTTCATAGTTCGTACGTGAAGGGTGGTTTAGCTTTGGGGGCTCTATTGGGACCAGGACGAGGTTAATTATTCTTTCTTTTCCCTTGTTGATACAAAGCAGCACCTTCTCTTGAAGTATGTAGGAGAGTCGTGCATTCGTAGTTCTACTATTTTCTTACTGTGTGTGATTCATGAAAATGTTTCAGAGTTACTCTTTGATGGCCTAAATGCGTTTAAGAAGGGGTCGCCTAACATGAACTCTCTCGTGGGATTTGGTTCTATAGCCGCATTCATCATTAGTTCCGTGAGATTCTATCTGGAATTTGAGCGTTCGGTTAAGTTACTAGACAATAGAATTTCTGATTTTGTTCAATGTGTCATTAATTCGAACTTGTCTTTGCTGTAGATCCCGCTACTTAACCCCAGCCTAGCATGGGATGCATCCTTCTTTGATGAACCGGTGACTTTCTCTACTTTTATCTGCCCTGATATTTGTCATTGGAAAATCTGCCACCTTGTTCTATCTTGACTTTAGGGTCTTGTTTAATTTAATAACCTCTCACCTTTGTAAAATATGTTATTTATTTTCTTGTTCATACTTCTTACGTTCATGTGTGTATAAGCTCCTCATGTGAGTATTGAATCTTTTAGCGAGCAGGTCATGCTTCTTGGTTTCGTGCTTCTGGGACGTTCTCTGGAGGAAAAGGCAAGGATCCAGGCATCTAGCGATATGAATGAACTGCTTGTAAGTTACAGTGTGATTCACCTCTTTCATCTGCTAACATTCAGTAAAATAATATTTATATAACCTGGTTATTTGCTATCTGGAATCAATAATGTGTTTTCCAAGAACAAATTATTAGACAATTTGTAGAGTTCTGTTAGTAATACATCATCAACATGAGACTTCAGAATTTGGAAGCCAACTACTTCAATATCATTGGAACTGAATTCATTAACATTCCGTTGGAACAGAATTTTGATTTATGAATATGTTCCTTATAGTGATTAAATGGCCTCCGTAGGTTACGGCAAAGAGGAGGCATTTTGTTGGTTCTCCGTTTAAAATCCAATCCTGTTTCAACTTCCACTTCCAGTTCTGATCAATTATTATTCCTGAGAAAAATGAAAAATCCAAGAACTGGAACTTTAGTCATAAGATAAAGTGGCTTATATGAAAATTAAGCATCAAATTATAGTTTTACTGGTATGAATGGCATTTCTTTATTGTAATATTTTCCTTTCAGTTTAATTTTTTTATCTTACATGATTACGCTGTGGTGAATGTTTTTCCAGTCACTTATATCTACTCAGTCAAGACTTGTGATTACTTCAACAGAAGGTTCTCCTTCTACTGACACTGTGCTTTGCTCTGATGCAATTTGTGTTGAAGTCCCAACTGATGATATTCGAGTAGGTGATTCAGTGTTGGTGTTGCCTGGAGAAACTATTCCTATAGATGTAAGCCTTTCTGATTTCTATTGGTATTCTGTTTATCTTAAATAAAAAAAAGCATGAAGTTAATTTTGTGGTACCTGAATTGGTGAGAGTGCACACATATCATTGCATTAAATTTGTAGTCTCTAGGACCAAATGCTCAATTACTAGGATGTGCCTAATATGCCAACAATGTCCTATAATAATAACATTGTTATGAAAACATTCATTCAAATATTTATTC